AGCTAGTTTTAACTAATTTTGTGATAATTTAGTAATTTTACTGTCCTTCGTTGACAGGGTTTTATATATTATATGTATGCATTATGAATTTAAAACTAGTTTTAGTCACGATATGGCTGAAATATTGCCAATGTGACTTCAATGTGAATTTTAACTCACTCACTCACTCACTCTATGACCCCTGACATTATACTCGTTTACCTGTATGTTGTTTAACGCCAGAATCAGCAATATTCCAGCTACCTAGCGGCGGTCTCTAAGTAGTCGAGTCTGGACCAGACAATCCAGTGACCAACAACAGGAGCATCGATCTACGCAATTTGGATACGACATGTGTCAACCAAGTTAGCGGGCCTGACCACTCAATCCCGTTAGTCGTCTCTTATGACAAGCATAGGTTGCTGAGGACCAATTGTAAACCTTATAAAACGGGTAAATAGTCAGCATAAACACAATTGCTTTCAATAACACTTTGACATTGAGGACATGTTTTCAGTTAAATGGCTTGAGACGAAGGCCTGTACAAAGTGAATGTAGAACAACAGGTTAAGAATCTGAAGTGTTTCTGTTTGTTTCATTAGGTGGGATAAGGATCAATCTTAATGTGTTCTTCTTTCAGTGAGACTTGGTGTTAATTGAACAGTAAGTGAGTTGTATTGAAAGCCACTTCTATGCTGAATGCCGTTGGTTTTAACGCCACTTTGAAGTTAAATACAGTGAGTACTTTGACGCTATATGCAGACTAGTCGTACTAAAAATAAAATGTGAAATGCTGGATTTCGTCAGAAATCAATGTTAACTGAGGGATAAGAGTTAGTGAGTTAAAATTTCACGTCACATTGGCAATATTAAATAATAAATAAAGTTAATGTTTGTATAGCGCCTGTTCCAACATATTGCTCAAAGGCGCTTAGGCGAAGGCTATATTGAACAAGTGGGTTTTTAGTTGTCGTTTAAACTGGTCGAGATTGACAATGTTCTGAATGTGCCGAGGAAGACGGTTCCAGAGCCAGGGGCCGGCTTTGGAGAACGATCTATCTTCATAGTGTCTTTTCCTAGTCATAGGAACATCCAGTGCTCTTGATGGTCTTGACCTAAGATCTCTCCCTGGAGTGTAGGTTGATAGGAGTTCACTGATATACTCAGGAGCTAGACCATGCAGCGATTTGAAGACAAACACCAGGATCTTGAACTGGATACGTTGTCTCACTGGTAGCCAATGGAGGTCTTGTAAGACCGGGGAGATGTGATCTCGACGTCTGGTGATGGTGATTACTCTGGTTGCACTGTTGTGCACTCTGGAGTCTGGAGAGTGAGTATCCCGATGCCCCATACAATAGACTATTGCTGTAGTCTATGCGAGATGTAACCAACGCATTAACTAGAGTCTTGACTGCATCCGTACCAATATGCTTCTTGATCAAGCTGATGTTTCTTAGATGGTAGTAGCATGACCGGCATACAGCATCGATGTGTCGCTCAGATGACAAGGATGACTCAAAAACCACACCTAGATTCCTTGCTTGAGAACTGGGGTTAACATCACAGTCACCAAGTTTCAATGGTGGGAACTGAAAGTTTGAAAGCAAAGATTTGGATCCAAAGATAATAAGTTCTGTCTTGTCGGCGTTGAGTTGGAGAAAGTGCGTGGACATCCAGTGCTGGATCTCCTTGACACAATCTACGATGGTCGCCTGTGCATTAGCAACAGAGGAAGGGTGGAAAGGTCGGAAACCCATGTAGATCTGGGAATCGTCGGCATATAGATGAAATCCCAGATTGCATATCATGACGAGGATTTGAATAATAAAAAAAGTCGTAATGAATAAAGTCAAATTATAAAACCCTGTCAACGAAGGACAGTACAATAACTAGAGGATCACAGATATAGATATAAAACTAGTATGAAAAACTATAAACGTTCAACTATAGAAGACAATACAATATAAAAACAGGCTATGTATTGCCAACAACTGAAGGTAGATCACTAGGGACCATGGGGACTTCCAGTACATTTGCTTCCTGCATGGACCCTAGCTGGGTTTACACCATCCCTTCAGCCGTTAGCAATTCAGTCAAATCTAACAATCTAGCATAAATTAAACATGACACATATTCTACGAGTAAAAGGTGGTAAGAATAAATTTATCTTGAATGTTTTGGGACTTACCTACCCTCTCAAGAGGACAAAACTTTTACAGTACTTTAACCCCTTTTGAGGATACAGCCACTAAGAATCTCAGTTGCTAAGTTAAACTATACAAGTTATAAAATACATCTATCTACAAAACATGTCAATCAAAATGAATCAATTAAATCAATTTCTTTTAAAAACCAATAATTAAATGAAAATTAATATTTGTAAAAAGAACCTTAACAGTTTTTACATTGAAATAGTTATCCCTTATGATGGAAAGTTCAACACAGTCAAGCAGGACATGCTTGACCGTGTTTCTCTCATCACAAGGGATACAAAACGGAGGATCCTCACCTTTCAATAGGGATTCATGAGTATATCTTTGTGTGGCCAATACGACATCGTCGCATGATGAACTCTTCAAATCTGGACTGACAACCCAAGTAGTTGCAACCTGATGGATAAGGCATCTGGGCAAGAAGTATGCAACACCATGGTCCTCAGGTTTGGTAGGCATCATGATTTAAGTGTGGTATGCGATTCCCAATCTTTGCCTGAATGGAAGTGTCAAGACAAGGCAATTTAATTTCAACTATCGATGATCTAGTATCTTCCAATAACCATCAAATAGCAAAGACTCTTCCATTGGTTTACCCACCTGATACTAAGGGGGACAAGTGAGACCGTATCAACTGTTTCATTATGCATAAAGATTCGGAGTGACAAGAATCTCTTCAGAAAGCTCTTTGACAAAAGTGATTATTTCAACTTTCCAATAGTCAACTTTCCTTTTATGTTGAGTAATTCTCCAACCACTCCAACTCCAGCTCTGTTCTTCATAAGCATTTCTTAATCGACGGATTCCTTTTGAAATTTCCTGTGAGTATGTACATGTTTGTTTGTTGCCTTTATTAGCAAGATGTGTCAACACAAGGTTCACGTGTTGCCTTTTGTTGGTAAGGCAATTTTGACTTTTACAAAAGGCTGAGTACTTTAATCTACATGGAAAGTCTGTTTCTGGGAGGTATCTTAACGCAAGTAATTTTGCTAGCTAGTTATAATTTTGGGAATGGCGATAACATATTTACGTTGTTTGAAAGCACACACTAAAAACCTTCAGTCAAAAAGGAACCATTAGAATCCAAGCGTTAGACCAGTAGGACCTTTTCTAAACAGAATAGGGAACATATAGTGTAAGTTTGTGATAATGGTAGCACGATTTAACGGTACCATACTCTTGATACGGTCGGAATTGAACAATTCTTTAGAAAATGAAACGGGTTTTGTCGCTTTTAATATTACGAATGGATTATTGTTTGTCCATGTGTCTCGGTATGCATTTACTTTCATACTGTTTGTATATAATTTTGGATATTAAAAGCAAGGACGTTGCCGTGTGTAGGGTCGTTATTTTGTAGGGTCGTTATGGAGTGTGATACATTATTTTGTAGGGTCGTTAAAGACTTTGATAGCTTTCTCTTTTCAGGTCTACAGATAAATTATCTAATAATGTGTTTATAATGTCGGTCTAGGGATTTCCTAAGTTAATGATTCTACTCTTGATGGAGTATTAGGTTTTTTTGTTTGATGACTTTTTGGTACAGTATGGTTGATCTAACTCAAACGAAGAATGAGGACTGTATGTGTCTATTATGAATAGACAATGCATGTCTAATACACCCGATTCCAGTTTTAACCCACCCATTATCAACCTAACTTTTCATGTCTCAGTGGAGAGTTTTAGTGCTAACAAGTGCGTTGGAATTGTCTTTTTCCTTTTTTGCGAGAAACCGTTAATGGCATGTACTGAATTATGGAGCAAGTGGAACCAATTATAGTCCTTACTACGTCAGGCAGGTATAGATAAGTATGAGATTACTCTGCCGAAATCAATATGACACAATAATGAAGGCATTTATGATTGCATAACAAACACAAACGTTTCAATTACTTAAAAATGTTAATGTGACGAATGAAGGGAATGAAAACATATTTCGATTGAAGCAGAATGTATTTCCTGTACGTAAACCTTCTTCACCACACGTTTCGGAACAGCTCTTCGTCACTTTGTAAGTAACATTATTGAGATACAAGTTAATGAACGTACACTTAACTAAGTATATATTTATAAAACGTATGCGTAATTATATAGCGTCAGATACTGCTGTTATACAGAGGGATGTTATCGGACTTCTGCTGTATCAGTCATACCCACTTTGTTAGAAATTTTAAAGTTGATAACTTTTAAGTACAGAAAGTATCTGTTCAAAGATTTGCACGATGTCTTCACGAAACATTGTCTCTAATTGATTGAAGTATGATCAAATTGTTTTGTTAGGAACTCGCCAAGTTTCATTGATTTTTTATCATATATTGAACTCATGACAATAATATTTTCAAAGTCACGAATTTGTTTTACAATACATCAGTTCATGTGGAAACAGTACCTTTAAACGATGTGGAATATTTGGCAAAAGTTAGTTTAGAATAGTTGCCTGAAGAAAGTGCCTATATTTACACTAGTCTAAACTTATGAAAGGAAATATGGATTAATTTAACAGGTAATCAGCTTTTAACAAAGCCCATTCTTTCTGAACGTTTGAGAAACTTATTAACACGATCACCAACTTAACAGCTAGCATATTACATCTGAAGCAAATACTGTAAACTATGTTTATTATGAACATGGTTATGACGAAATGACTGATATAAAGAACTGTTATAAAATGCTGGCAACTTGCTTCACATTTTACATATAATGCTTAACATGAACTACGAGTAACAAATATAATTGAGTGGTTCATTTAAGTACGCACATAACCTCAATTCACTGTAAAACGTCACTATTCTCCAAATAGTCAAAGACTGGACCATGGCGCTCGTCCGACTCCAGCTGCATCTGTCTCTGGTGCACTTCCTCCCCTCGGACATAGCTCCACCAACAAATGTGGCCAACGTGTTAGACTGCTTCAGCTCTTGCTTGAGATACCAGCAGTGTGTCTCCCTGATTTACAACAGGAACAACAAACAGTGCTACACCTATCCAGGCAGGCTTGAAGTTCCCTTCTGGGGAACTGACATCAATACTGACTTGGACATTTACAACACCAACAGAGGTAAGGGAGATTGTCTGGCAATCGTGTCAAACAGATTCGTGATGTTTTCCATAAACATAACACCATGAGTTTTAAAATGCAGTTGTCCTTCACACGGAGACATTTTGCGTGAACACAGTGGTGAATGAGTGGGTATGCATTTAAGCAATTTTCCAGCAATATCACGGCAGGGGGCACACCGCACATGGGCTTCACACATTGTAGCCATGTGGGAAATCGAACCCGTGTCTACAATGTGTCGAACAATCGCCATTTCCAAACCGCCTCTCTGAATATAACTGTCTGCAACTCAAGCTTATGTGATGCTTCTTGGCTAAATTCCCTTTTTTGAAATTCCCAAGCATCGAAGTTGTATTAACGTGTATTCAAAATGAAGCAGCAGTACAAACGGAAGAAAAGGACACGACTTGCGCCCCTGGTTGTGCTTACTCCTTGGTTTGAATATCGTACACCAAAACACAGTAGGTTTTACTCCGAAAACAAATCAATGTTTGTTTGCATCAGTAAAGCCCCATTTCCGATGTCCCGGTCGTGATTTTGCTTCCATAAAATGACAAATGACACTTCGAACCCTTTCAGTCCAGTCATTGAGCCCAATACTTCATTCACTCAGTGTTACATCTGTATTTTACTAAACGTTGTTGTACTTTTAATGTTTCCTTGTCGAAAAGAGATGAGAGTACGACTGAAACAACATGTGGTATCACATTGTTTGATTAAATGGCAAAATTTCCATTTGGAGGTACCTTTTTTTAGTTGCCGTGGTTGTAATAAAGAATGTTTATTTCAGATGGATATGGTTGTCCAAGTCATCTTGGATATGATTTTAATTCCACGGTTAATGTGTGTTACAAAATACATGGTGACTTTCAAACGAAGCACTATTATGCTGCTCGCATCTGCGTCGCCGACGGTGGTCATCTCATCAGAATCAATTCAAGTGCCAAGGATGAATTCTTGTCTGTCGTTTGGCCAACTGGATCTGGTAAGCAATCGCATGAAAAATTGAAAACTGTCCTAAAAATGATGTTATAGAAGAAGAAATCTCTATTTTCTATTGTTCCAGTATTTGCATATTTCACTTTTTAGCAGCCACTGTACTTATGAGTAAATCTCATAATACCCCCACGATTGAATATTTTACTGTCTCATGTCCCTCTACTTCTGCAACTATTGCTTGATATCATACCAATGAAAAGCCACAAAATATTGTCCATAGTCACAAAGAACCTCCACTGTAAAATGACCAGGGTGCCGTTCCACTAACCGATCTTAGCCCTACGCCAATCGTAAACCCCTAAAATCCCAACCTTAGCGTAACGTTACGATCGGCATACCGTTCCACTAACCGATCTTACCTAAGTCAATCGTAAAGTTAAGATCCAAAGTCTAAGTTGCTCATGACCAACTTAGGATCGCTAAAATCAATCGTAGAGAAACCAAAATGGTGGCTTTCCTATTCTATGTGAAAAATAAGAGCGAGCATTTCACCGTGAGCGTCCCCTAAAATCCCCCAAGAAATGAATTTGTATATTTCTGTGATGTAAACAAACACTGCACTGAAGCCTTACAAATGTCAGGCCAGTCTGACCACTGTCGTCATGGGAACACAACCGAGCGAGTCGGTGTAACACATTTGTACAACAATATTGCAACGTCATAGTTAAGAATAGGGACAGCTGTGAAGTGAACAATGTTCTGAAACAAAAAGATACAAATATGTTTGATTTCACGTGCGCTTATTTGGTGGGGGATTCTAAAGGCAGGCCGCGTGTTATTCAAGACCAATGACAGATTCTACATACGTTATAGAGGATGCCTCGTCACGCCTTGTTTATTCTGATTGACAAGGTTCAGGCACATAATAAAAGCTCTGACACAATTGACATTTTTTAAGTCCAGACTTAAAACCTGTTCTCAGTATATTACTTATAATCTCGGCTGTAAATACTCTCGTGTAAATTATCTGTACATAGCGCCTTGAGCATGCCCCAGGATGTGGAATAGGCGCACTATAAATATGCATATATTATTATTATATTATGCCTGATACCCAGCGTTCACACACACTTGCACCTGAAACCAAGGTGCTCACTACCCTAATATTTTGCTCTAGGGTATTTTCTCCACGTTTACACTTGGTTAGAAAAATACCCATGAAGGCCCGGATTAGAATATTGAACTTCAATAACCCATGCTTGTCGTAAGAGGCGACTAACGGGATTGGGTGGTCAGGCTCGCTGACTTGGTTGACACATGTCATCGGTTCCCAACTGCGCAGATCGATCCTCATGCTGTTGATCACTGGATTATTTATAGCTAAGATACATAGCGTTCACTAACATGAACGCTCATGTTAGTGAACGCTATAAATCTTAATTAGCTAAATTATTTACAGACCGCCGCGATATAGCTTGACTATTGCTGAGTGCGGCGTAAATCTAAGCTCACTCAGTCACTCAGTTGGTTCGTAAACTACTTCCATCATTTGCTAGACTATGCAAAGGGAAATAACTCGTGCCTCGCATTCCTCTATCTCTCTAACGAAAGAGTCTCCATCTAAGCTCGGATCGGATCGTTAGATCGGGACCAGCTACGATCGGCCTAAGATCGGTTAGTGGAACGGGTGTAACTTTTAGCTAAGACGATTGTAAAATTGGCGTAACTTGCTAAGATTGATCTTAGTTAAGATCGGTTAGTGCAACGGCACCCAGGTGTAGAATGGAGACCCCAAGTTTAGCCCGAGTAGAACAAAAACTACTACCGACATAAGAATTGTCCACTTCGATATCCATACATGTTGTCACAGACTGACCAGGATACTACTTTGATGAGTCTAAGTTGACGGCAGCTGATTTCTTACTCATCGCAAATGGGTACGAGGCTCTTTCCAAATTGTATCTGAGAGGTTAACCAATCATTATGTACGCACAGGACTAAATCGTGAAATGAGCAAATGAGCTTACAAGAGTAAGGAACATTAAAATCTAACCAAACACAAAAGTTTATGTTTGTCAATGAGCCATATCGTGATTTTAACAAATTACAAATTCATGATAAAATGCCATTAAATTATAAAACCCCTACAGTAAAATAACTAGATTATCACGGATAGAGAATTAAAACTAGCATGTAACTGTAAAATTAAACTGTAAAACAATACAGTATATAAAAACGGGTTAGAGATCACCAGCAGCTGAAGATAGGTCACCATACTAGAGACCATGGGAACTTACAGTACCTTTGCTACCTGCATGGACCCTAGTTGGATTTACACCATCCCTTCATCCGCCGGCGATTGCGGGAAATTTTAGCCATGATTTAAAATAACACAAATACTATGTTAAAAAGTCTGGTTAGTATAAATTTACCTTGAATATTTTGGGACTTACGTATCCCCACAGAAAGACAATACAAGACTACAACCCCCTATGAGGATACAGCCACAAACAATTTAATCTAAATGTTAAATTTATAAATAATTTTCTAACAGATGACAATAAATTTCTTTCTTATAAAGAATTCGTAGAACTGTATGGGGTTGAAACAAATTTCCTTGAATATACAGGATTATTATCTTCATTGAAAACATATTCAAAACAGAGTTCGTTCAAAATTAATATTCAGAAAGATTTACCTTTTACCTCTCCTAATTTGGAAATACTACTCAAAGCTAAGAAAGGATGTGGCATATTTTACAACAGGCTTCTTCACAAGGAAGCTATAAACCAAAAACTGCTTTATGAAAGTAAGTTGGAAAAAGAATTGAACATAGATATTAGATTTAATCTATGGAAAACACATAATTATATACCATTTCGAGCATCTTATAGTGCTAGGCACAGATGGCTTCAATATCGTATTATCATAGGATCCTCACAATAAAGATGTTTATAAATACAAACTAATAGAATCACCACTTTGTACATTATGTGATGTTGAAATAGAATCGATCATTCATTTATTATATGAATGCAAACTTGTCAAAAAGCTGTGGCAAGATCTACTAGAATGGATTGAAAATGAAACAGACACCCATTTGAAATTAAACGCGGAACCATTATTCTCGGATTCAAAGAGAGAAGAAATGATGTACTGAATGCCATGTTCATATTAACTAAAGAATACATATATTCTAGAAAGGTAGCAAACATTGTACCTTCTCTCGCTGGTCTGAAACCAAAATTGAATTACAATTACCAATTACACAAATTTAAAGCGTACTCTCACTGCAAATACGACACTTTTGTTACATTTTGGTCGTCTTGCCACAATCTATTTACATAGATAATGACTTTGTAATTTGACTCCTATATAAAACAACAAATATGCTGACTTGTTAAATGTGCATGATATGCTGTACCTAGATCAAAAAGAAATAAAGTGACACCCCCCAAAAACAACAACAAAAAACAAACCAATCTCAGCTGCTAATTTAAACTACCTCTAATATATATATATAAATCAAAATTCATGAAGTAATTCTATTTATTTTAGAAAATCAATAATTAAATGATAATTGACATTAAAAACACCCTTCATTGTTTTGTCATTGGAGGCAATACCGTGTCTCAAATGAGACTAAGAACTAAGTACTACGTAACAGGCCCCAGAAATATTGTTAGTGAACTCATGAATGTTAAGAACACTTTTGAATCTTTTGAACAAGGCCGTTTTTGGAGCCAGAATAGTGAGAATTGGGATAATTTACACGTTTCCATGTAAGCATTTTATCCGCACTTGGCAATTAGGCTGGGAACAAAGCAGTTCGAAAACAGTCCCAAATCGACCTCTTTCCGATCTTTAATGCGCACCATATTTGGACATGTCCACCACACGTCGACCCGTGAAGATCCGGGTTAGAATTGTTCTCAGTAACCCATGCTTATCGTAAGAGTGAGTGAGTGATTTTTGTTTTACGCCGCTTTTAGCAATATCCCAGCAATATCATGGCGGGGGACACCAGAAATGAGCTTCACACATTGTACCCATGTGGGGAATCGAAGCTTATCGTAAGGGGCGTCTAATCGGTGGTTAGGCTCGCCAGCTTGGTTGACACGACGTCGTGTCATCGTATCCCATTTGAGTAGATCGATGCAAATACTATTGATCACTGGATTGTCTGGTCTAGACTAGACTATTTACAGATCGCCCCATATAGCTGTAATATTGTTGAGTGCGGCGTTAGACAACAACCAACCAGCCTCCACACGTAAAAAAATAAACAACAACAACAACAAAACAGTTTGGATTGTTCTTTTGGTCTTGAACATTTGCACCTACTTTAAGAGTCGTACAACGCTTTTACAAATCTTTGTGATACACGTTTATAACTAAATGCACAGGTGTGGCATATCGGCTATAATTGCCTCAGATGAAGTTCGTTCGAAGTTAACATGTTAACATGTCAGTAAGTAAAATTCGATTTGATTAAAACATCTGCAGTTCTAACTTTAACACGAGTCCGACAAATAAGACGCCTAGTTGAAATGAATGTGGCGTAACCATTGACCCGGAACAGTGAAAGCAATAACGACTCAATCGTTAATTTTCGTCAATTATCAAGTCAGTTATGTTTATATCTAGACGTCTATTATCTGTACAATTTGCTGTATGACCTCTCCTGGAGTGATTGTCCGGATAGATGATACATAATTTGCACATATACAAATGGAAATACTTTTAGAGAAAAAGTAGGCACATATTGTGGGTTTTGTGCACAGCCAGAATTCTGATAAAACGTTGATGTGAAACTGATTGTTGAAATGTTTAACAGTTTTATGAAGCTAAACTAAATGATATCATTTACACGTAATTTCAGTTTATGTCGATGGCAGGTGCATAGTGGGCGAAGGCTGGAAGTACTCGACTGGTGACAACATAACCTACTTCAGGTGGATGCCAGGTCAACCCAATAGCATCTGCGGCGTTGGATGGGGGAAGTGTCTGGAATCAAACTCGTCTGGTAGTAACGACATCGAATGTTACCTTCCTATGCCATTTATATGTGAAATCGACATATAAAGCAGTGTATGGTACACGATTTGTAATTTTACAAATGATTAATCATTCGGATCAAAGTGAACCGTATACAACAATAGCTTGGCATCGGTACTTTTTCTCCTCCTTCACTACTATTCATTCTGGCGGTTAACCACTTCGATAACGATCGTTACAAACAACACGCAGGTATCCTCATGCTTTATTGCCCTTTATCTTTCAAACATTAGAGCTTACTTTAAGCATGGCCTTTATCATGATTTGAATGTTGTTTTCACAACTTAAAGATTGACGCATGTACGTGCCTACATCACACGGCTTAGGCAAGCCGACTAAATGACTAAATTGTATGTTAGGTATTGTTTGTGAACTGAGCTTTTTGCTTTGTTGTAGGGGTTTTAGTGGGAAGAAGAGTATATGGAGAATCTCACTGATCCACTGTCTGCTAATATCAATTATATCAACACGAGTTGATAAAGTTACAAATATCTGCGGAGGATATTTTACTTTTATCAACGAGTGTTGATATATTCAATATCAGAAGACACGAGGGTGAAGTTCTATTTTTTATTAAAAATCTCTTTTCATTAGGTTTCAATGAAAAATGAACATCCCTGAACACGGTACTGCCATTAGACTTGTAGTGCAGCGATGTCATAGCATTGTGAGTCTTGTAATTGTTGACGTCAGGGTATCGTACAAAATCTACTGACAAAGCGATATCTCCAGTGGAACACAGTTTTTGATGATAAATTAGAATACTGGAAATAGTATTCTACGCAAAAATTGGTATTATTTCATGTGTTTTACTTCTTTGAACTGCAGTCCGTAAATCCATTGCACAGTATTTACAGGGGTTACAATGGGTGAGCTTAACATGGCATGTTGAGCAAACAACGCAGTTTTACACGATGGGTTCCTGTTTGGCGTTGACATAAGAATACAAAAAGTTTGCTCAGATGAACAATTAGTCAATTTAGGTGATATGAAGTAAAAAGCACATACCAAACGAACATGAAAATATTCTTCAGTAGCATTACCACTGTGCTTTTTACATATATTTACAACTGCATGAAATTTTCCTTTGCAAAACATCATAATAGCAACACTGGGACTGGGCCAATGATGGTCTCATTGACACAATGTATATACAATAGATGAACTTTTTCACTAATAAATTGTTCTTTTAAAAAGGAATATGTCTATGAACATGTATTTTAATTTAAGTTGGTGCTCAATTTCTGTTGGAAACTGTCGTTACATCTCTGGAGTACAAGTGACAGGAATCCGGCTTTGTTTCCTACCCCAGACAATCCAGTGATTATTACCATGTCACGATGACAGAGCATGTGTTTATGAATCACTGATTAGTGATGATACCAGGTGTTCGCGACAAGGTGAGCGTATCCTGCACCACCGGAGGCACCCGTCATAAACATATGCTAATCATTTGTTCACCGATAATAATTTGGGAACGTACAAGTCAAAATATATCTTTATGCTTCGATCTAAATATGAGGCGGTCTCACTTGTCTCCTTAATTTCAAGTACTGACATGCACAACTTACAAACAAAACCTCGTTACAGTTTTATTCTATTATTAAGTCATCACTTACCACAGATTTGTACATCTTTGATCTTAATAATATTAAATATCGTAAATCACTGCTTATCTTCAGAAGCTGTTACAACAGGCTAGGAATACAATGTATTAGAAAAGGATTTTGTGATTATGAAAGCTCTGATTCTAAATGTGCTTTATATAATGTAACGGAAGATGAAATACAAATTTTATATTAATGTCCAATGTATCAAACTCTTCGTTGTGATGTACCTCTTATTATCCAGCATGGTGGAAATATCAATGGTTTAATATCTTTAATGAATTCCAATGATCATAAATTCATGTTAGCAAAATATCTTTAGAATGTGTTTCGTATTCGAGGAGAAGTCCTTTGATACGCATGTGTATATTTTCATGTATATTTAATGAACTGTATAACAATAAACAAATTGATTGATTAATTCAAGTACAGGTGGGTAAATCAGTGGAAGGGTATTGGCCATTTGATGGTTTTTGAACGATCAAATTATCGAAGTTAATTCTTGGCCATATTACCTTGCAGAATACATATTGGCTTCATCCCATTCCTCTTCACCCAAAGTTAATGTTGGTATGTAGATATTAATAATGCGGTTTCTCAGATCAGAGTATATTTGTTGGCATATGCTTATTAACGCGTCCCTTAACGATGACTAATCTTAACACGTTGTAATTTGCAGTAGAAAAGGGTTAATGCAAAATCTCTCGCGAAGAAAGTTTCCCTGGTGTGGTTGACCATGTGGTTTGGTATTATACGCAGTGTTTCTAGATTTAGAACGAGGTTTATTAGGAGGTTGTACTGTCTGTCAAGTTGTGTTATGTATGTGGTATAAATGAAGGGTATTACATACAGAGTGGCACAATTTACGGAGTGATTGAGTTAAGATTTTAAGTCGCATCGGCAATATTTCAGCCATATCGTGACTAAAACTAGTTCTAAATGCATAATATATACATATAATATATAAAACCCTGTCAACGAAGGACAGTAAAATTACTAGATTATCACAAAATGAGTTAAAACTAGCTAGCATATATCTTTAAAAGTAGAAAACTATTTTTTGACAATACAATGTAAAAATGGGCTATTGATCGCCAACAACTGAAGGTAGATCACCACACTTGGGACCATGGGTACCAGTACTTTTGGTACCTGAATAGACCTTAGATGGATTTATATCATCCCTTTAGCCGTTGGCGATTGTAGTCGAAATTGGCTATATATACGGAGTAGTGGTCTACAGGAAATGGTACTGTAGCAGAAGTACAATGCATGAAGCAGTCCTATGTATTGAGTGGTTCTATATATGTTGTTACACTATACACGTAGCAGTTGTTTATGTTCAATGGTCCCATATCTGTTGTAGTGCTATATAGTCATTGGTACTGCATAGAAACTATTAGAATGTATTCAGTGAGTGATGTATTTATTATTTAGTGAGTGAGTTTAGTTTTACGCCGCACTCAGCAATATTCCAACTATATAGCGGCGGTCTGTAAATAATCGAGTCTGGACCAGACAATCCAGTGATCAACAGCATGAGCATCGATCTGCGCAATTGGGAACCGATGACATGTGTCTACCAAGCCAGCGAGCCTGACCACCCGATCTCGTTAGTCGCCTCTTACGACAAGCATGGGTTACTGAAGATTCAATTCTAACCCGGACCTTCACGGGTCTTTTATTTAGTACCAACATTAACTTTGGGTTAAGAGGAGTGGTAAAATATAGTCAGTGATCCTGTATATGGAGTCATGCGATATATTCTATATACGGTTTAGTGGTATGTATTCAATGGTTATGATGCTTCTTGTAGTGGTATATATAGGATGACCCTGTGTATGGTGTAGTGATATTTATTCAGTGGTCCTCTATATTGTTTAAGGGTATGTATTGAATGGCGTTACATATTATGTCTTGGTGGGTATATATATGGTGTAGTGTTATGTATTGAATTTCCTTATAATATGGTGTAGTGCTATGTATCCAGTGATCCTATATATGGTTCTGTAGCATGTATTTAGTAAATCTATAATATGGTGAAGTGCTATGTATCCAGTGGTCCTATATATGGTTCGGTGGCATGTATTCAGTAAAACTATAATATGGTGTAGTGCTATGTATCAAGTGGTCCCATTTATTGTTCTGTGGCATGTATTCAGTAAATCTATAACATGGTGTAGTGCTATGTATCCAGTGGTCCTATATATCGTTCTGTGGCATGTATTCAGTAAATCTATAACATGGTGAAGTGCTATGTATCCAGTGGTCCCATTTATTGTTCTGTGGCATGTATTTAGTAAATCTATAATATGGTGAAGTGCTATGTATCCAGTGGTCCTATATATCGTTCTGTGGCATGTATTCAGTAAATCTATAAGATGGTGTAGTGCTATGTATCCAGTGGTCCTATATATGGTTCTGTAGCATGTATTCAGTAAATCTATAATATGGTGTAGTGCTATGTATCCAGTGGTCCTATATATGGTTCTGTGGCATGTATTCAGTAAATCTATAATATGGTGTAGTGCTATCTATCCAGTGGTCCTATATATGGTTCTGTATGTGTATTCAGTAAATCTATAATATGGTGAAGTGCTATGTATCCAGTGGTCCTATATATGGTTCTGTGGCATGTATTCAGTAAATCTATAATATGGTGCAGTGCTATGTATCCAGTGGTCCTATATATGGTTCTGTGGCATGTATTCAGTAAATCTATAATATGTCATTGTGGTATGTATTCTTTTATCTTATAGTGGAATCTGCAGTGTATTAACTTCTTTTCCCTCAAGATAATTCTCCTTCATTATACATTCTCGTCAATATCTAAATGTAATCCTTTTTCAGACCATTAAAAAATCCTCCTTATTTAGTTTGTGTTTTTGAGTTGACGACTATTAGCTGGAACGAAGATCAATCTTGTTACATCAACACATATTGATTCCAGCATAAGCATCCCCAAGGTTACAATGTGTATCGACCAAACACCAGGGACAGCGCAAGAGTGTGCCTGGAGTAGCCTAATCCGGATATCACCTTGGGATATAGGGAAGGTTCATCCTTGTGCATTTAAACTACATACTCATATATTTGCATTTCTAGACATTCTATGCCTTAATGATTTGTGAAGAAAGGCACATACCATACGTTGATGTGTTGTTCTTTCAGTGAGACTTTTCAAGGCAAAGGTGTATTTGCAGAAAAAAGCTCCACAACACACTTGTCATAATCCTAAGAAACGTGTTAACAGCACAGTTGTGAGTTGGGTTGACCTCCAGTTTGATGCTCAATGCAGAGTGAGTGAGTTGGTTGAACACCATTTTGATGCTAAATGCAGAGTGTGTGAGCTGTTTTTTACGCCACTTCGATGCTAAATTCACAGTGCATTGCACGATGCATCATGAGCACGTGTGCCGTAAATTACATTCAAATGGTGATGATGCAAATTCAAATGTTCACGAAACGGTTCATTTCCCTATGACACTTGTATTACACACAACAAGCCCATGATAAGGCAAAACAATTCTTTATCTTTTCAAACATGGTAAGATTAAAATTGCCCAGAGAATCATTTTAGTCATTGATTTGTCAAATCTTGAATTGTCCCCGACATAACTATCATAAAAAATTTGACTAGCCCCTGGAATGTTGTAAACACGTTTTGAGCAAGGGATGTTTGACGCTGTGTGAAATCTTCTTAAGAGCATGTTCCTTTGTACCTCAGCAGGTGTCAGCAAAGCCTGGAACGTTTGGAATAATGATGCACATTAAGGGAAAGTTAGAATACAGTCTAGCAGACTATTGGAAAGTTGAAGTCAGTTTCCTTC